CCACATCCAAGTATAATATTACTTTGAACTCCAACATTTAAAATAGCTAAACTCTGGGGGCACCTGGGTGGCTCAGTGAGTTAAGTGTCTGACTTTGGCTCAGGTCATGATCTCTCAGTTCGTGGGTTCGAGCCCCATGTTGGGCTCTGTGCTGACAGCTCAGAGCCTGGAGCCTGCTTCGGATTCTGTCTCTCTCTCTCTCTCTCTCTCCCTCTGCCCCTCCCCTGCTCATGCTCTGTCTCTCAAAAATAAACATTAATAAATAAAAATAAAGAATAAAGTAGCTAAACTCTGAAGATAACACAGACATGTTGAATAAAGTGCTGAACTCGGTCTTGCTCCCCTCCCCACACATTTTTTTTTTTTTATATCAGTAGGAATTCTTCCCACATGCTAATCAGAGGTAAGCTCTTAAGTAGAGGAACTAAGCATGATTCAGCACATTTAAAAAGGATTTATACCCATTCTTAGAAGGACAACCAGAGGAAACACCATCTGAGGTCTAAACAATGATATCTGCTTGCCCTTTGATCTGAGTTTAAGAACACTTTGTACAACTTTTTTTTTTTTTTGCTGAAATACCACTGAATTTCACATTTGCTATTTGAAATTTCTTTAGAACATCAACTGCTTCTTTGAATCACACTTTTGCAAACAAATTCTCCAAATTATATTTGCTGTGAGTAACTTGCAGGCAGGGATTTATTTTCTGCTAACAAAAAATCTTCGTAAGTACAGATAGCCTAAATGAAAAATAGTACCACTGATCCTATGTTTATGAGAAAAAGACAGTACAGTGTATCTGGTTACAAATACAAGTAGGGAGTATTCCATTTTTCTTCTAATTTACGTTTCCCGAGGGTAATTTTGTTCAGAAGATTGCCAGTATTTTTAGTACAATAAGTTTCTTGTTACTTGTACTAATACATACTGATTCCCTTTTCTGAGCATAATTTGAGGGGGTTTTTTATTTCATTTTACCCTAGCATCTGGAGATCAACACCTCATTAATTCAAACTAAATGAAGTCTGAAATGCAGAGATTTACAGAAACCCTTCCACTACTCTCAAATGTGATGCACATAGGTAACTAATTAAAGAGATATTATTCAAGTATTATGATATACATCGAATACCATCAACCTCAATGTCCTAAATGTCTTTACTTCAAATGACTTTGACTTAATAAAAATCAGGTATACCATTTCTAAATGATCAGGTCTTCCAGATTAGTGAAATAAGAATTTTAAATGGTGGGGGAAAGGGAGAGTGGCAAACCATGAGAGACTCTTGAATGCTGAGAACAAACTGAGGACTGATGGATGGGGGCGGGGGGGAGATGGGCATGGAGGAGGGCACTTGTGGGGATGAGCACTGGGTGTTATATGGAAACCAACCTGACAGTAAACTATTTGTAAAAATAAAAAAATAAGACTTTTAAATGAAGGCTAGGTTTGTTTTCATTAATTCAATCTTTATTAAGCACCTTCTGTAAAAATACTCCTTGTGATAAGTGCAACCAAGGAAATAAACAGGGTATTGTGACAGTAAAGAAGTGAGTGGGGGTGAGGAGGGCACTAATTTCTATAGAGGGGTTAGAGAAGGCTTTTCTAAGAAGGTGAGTTTTAAGAGCTAAAGGATATTTCAGGATACTTCTCCAAGGTCACCAAATTGGCAGGCTTGCTTATTAGATTGCCAAGACATTTTTAGCCTTAGAAAACAAGTAGAAAATGGCATCTGTGAATGCAGGTTCACGAGTGCACCAGGCTAGTCCAGGCAGCCTGCACACCAGCTGGTTCGTGCTAGGGAGGCTGCACACGTCTCCAGCCTATTCAGCCAGAGAGAGTTTAAAACAGTCAGTAGAAACAGTAGTGAGCTAGTCCAATGACCAGCATTTGGGATACGTGGGAAAAACTGATTTCTGTGGATTCACACTTCCTGATAGCCACTCTGGCTCACAAGGTTAAGAGTGTTTCAAGTGTATTTCATGAGTAAATTATTCCCAGGTCCCAGGGAAGAAGTTTGCCACCATGTAACACTTTCTCTTATACTTTGTTTATAAACCTAACCTAACTCACTAGGTATGAAAGTACTTTAAAACGTGTATCTTTTTATAGGTTCTTTAACAAATGAGTCATGTAATGCAGCAGCAAACATGCCATGGACGTGGAAATCTGCAGAATTCTCCCAACATCCTGATTTAAAGAATCCACATTGCCAAACAATTAAAGTACTTTCTTCCAGTAAACTGTCTTTATGCTCAGAGCTATGATCAGATTTTTTAAAATCACATTTTAGCCTCTCATTATGAAATCCTCCTTCTTACTGCTAAATGGATTCAGATTAAATAGAACTTCGGGACTGGCAGGTGGCATGGTTTGGGACTTGGGTTCTACTTACCTGGAAAAGGTTTCCCCCTCTAACTGCCGATGTGGAGTCCAGGACTGGAACTACAGACAGTTAGGACGTGTAGTCAGAAAGCCTAGTGCTATGATCAGAGGGGCTTGGGGCAAAGTTCCCTTCCCAGGAACCTCTTCCAGTTTCAGATTAGCCTATCCCAGGCCTGAAATTACACTACTACTGAATTCTCTTGGAATTTTGCAGTGCTACTTTTTGGACCTTGAAGTTTCCCTTATGTTAAGAGATACTATGTTCAACCATCACCTTAGCAGGATTGGTGGACAGCAGACTTCAAGCAGTGCAACTCAGAGCCAATGTACACCTGTAGGCTAGGAAAGGTCAGACAAGCAAGGAATGAGAACTCAGAGGTCCTAAAGCACATTAAAAGTCGCTGCCCTTTACAAACTTTGCCTCTAGCCAACTGTAACAAGTTCAAATACCACCTAAGGCAGTGGTTCCCAAACAAGGGATTCACCTGTGCGATCTCTGAAACTCCGGATACCTGGCTTCCACCCTGCACATTGATTTAACTGAGGGGGTTCCACCTGAGCATCAGGATTTTTAAGGGCCCCCAGGTGATTCTAATGTGCAGCAACATTTGGGAGCCACTAACACAAGGAAGCATTGTTCTTCTCACTGGGACGATCTGATTTCCTTCAGACATCAGGATCTCCTGTCTCGGTGCTTCTTGACCATGGTAGCACATTAGAAAAACCAAAGGCTAAGGAAAGGAAAGGAGAAGGAAGGAGAGGGGAGGGGAGGGGAGGGGAGGGGAGGAAAGGAAAAAGAAAATGTCAGATCCCACCCTCACAGAGTCTGATCTAATTGCTCTGGGGAGCAGTCCCAGCATCCTTTAGGCCTTTAAGTGTCCCCAGGTGATGTTAATGGCCAACCAAGGTTAGAACCATGGTCTACGCCCAGGAACCGTTTTTGGAGACTATAACATGATTCTCGGTGAAGGAGCCAGAAGTTCATTCTCCACTTTGGCCAAATTGGGACTACCCCCAAGAGGCAACAAAACATTTCCCCAAAGCTGTCAAGAAACTGAGGGGAGGGAGATGGTGAGGCAGATGGCAAGTGGTGGAATTCACTAAACCCGGAGAAGCCCTCAAGTAGAATATGGAAGAGATCCGGTCCTCAGCACCGCCCCTCCCCCACCAACTTTATTGACTGCGCTGAGAAGCCTCAGAATGCTTCCTGGAGATGGCTCAACCTTGGCTGTGGTCCCAATAAATGGGGGAAATTCCTGTCCAATCAGAACTCCTAGCACTGCAAGTAGCAAGACTGGCAGGCCTGGAGCCTCCACTCCCTGTGAGATTCTGTTTCATGAATTTCCCAGGAGGATTTCTGCACCAGTTGGAGGCCAATCGGACCTCCCCCTTAGGCCCCCGCTCCTTTCTTCCTCCAAGGCTCAGCAGAGTTGAGAATCATCTCATAGACACTCTTGTAAAGAACTCGCCAAAATATTTCACATGGTCATCACTCAGTAATGTCAAACGACAGACGTCTTTGACGTGGCTTTGACAAGTGTCTGATAACCCACTTTGGGCCCTGGGCAGGGCCACGCGTCTCACACGGTTAAGGACCTCCGCGGAGACCCCAACTCTGGCATGGCTCCTGCATCCCCTTTTCTCCCTGTCTAGAACGCGTCCCCTACATCCCTTGGTCTACACTAGGCTGAGTGAGAGTTTATGAATGAAGAGTAGTCCAAATCGGAGGCACGGATCCTGAGAAAAAGTCTTCTTTACACCGTTCTCATTTACAGATGAGAAAACTCAGGGGAAAAAAAGGCTATGTGACTCCGTCCGGGTTTGCCACAGAACATTTGTGGCGGAGCCCGATTTAGCCGCCCTTGAATTTCCATTCTGTTGCCTGGCAACCAGTTCAGACCAGCTCAGCGCCCAACCCCGGCCCCTAACCCGCACCCTTTCTCTGCCCGCGCGGCTTGGGCAGCAGTTATCAAAAGTTCAGCCTTTGGAGGGCACAGGCCAAAGGCATGTGAGCTAGCGCCTGGATGGGTTACCCCAACTGCGCTGGGGATCCGGTCCCAAACCCCCTAGAGCCCCGTCTGGCGTGCCTTGAGGTCCTTTAGACACCTTCCTCTGCAACCCTCCTCCGCCGCCAATTCCCTGGATACCACTTAACACAGTCACGTCAAGCGTCCAAAGTTCTCAGTTGCGATCCGATTCCCTAAAAGTCCCGGTGGGGAAACTGGTACTCAGAGCTTTAAGGGTGCAAAATAAAAGCAGGAGGGGAAGGGGTGTTGAAGAGCCTTCTCCTTCCCAGCTGGCTGCACTCGGGCGGGACTTTTCTGCTCAAGTCGAGCGAACCTGGCCCCCGCCGGGCGTTCTTGGAAAAAGCGCGGAGGGAGCTGGGACGCCGCTCTCCTCGAGCCCCACGCCCCGGCGCGCCCCCGCCCGCTCGCCCGCCGCGGCCCGAGCGCGCGCCCCGGCCCGCGGCGCGGGGAGCGCACGTGCAGCCCACCGCCGCGCAGGTGCGCTCGCGTCCCCGGGGCTCCCCCACGCCCCCGCCTCCCTCCCCGGGCCCGGGAGACCGTTCCGCGGAGGGCGTTCTCGTCGCGACGCTACCCTAACTCCTTACCCAGGTTCACGAAGCTCATGACCATGTCCGCGTCGTTGAGGAAGGCGCTGTCCTGCGCACTGGTCAGTGGGGCCGTGCCGCCGCCGGGTCCCGCGGCCAGGAGGCTCCTGCCGTTGCCCGCGTGCGCCGCGCCGGGGGGCGGCTGCCGCGGCTGGGACGAGCCCGCCCCTCCTCGCGGCCCGGGCTGCCGCCTCTCTTCGCTCGACGCCCAGTCCTCCTCGTCGGCGGCTGCCAAGGAGTTGTACAGATCCAGCATGAAGAGGGGCGCAGACTTCAGCCGCCCGGGAGGGGGCTCCCCGCGAGGCTGCTGCTGCGGGAGCTCAGCGGGCTGCGGCTGCTGGAGGCCGTGCAGGGGCCGGGGCCGGTGCGGGAGCCCCAGCACCGAGAGGATCTCCTTCTGCATCTCGCGCTTCTCGTGCGTCTTGAGCCGCCGGTAGAGGAAGCCGGAGGAGGAGGACTGCGGCGGCGGCGGCGGCGGCGGCTCCGCGTGGCCCGGGCTCCCGCCGTCCCCCAGCAGCGCCCCCCCGCCGGCGGCGGCGGCGGCGGCGGGCAGGGGGGCCCGCAGCGGCGGGGGCCCGCAGCAGCTGCACAGCAGCCCCCACCACCAGCACAGCCACTGCGCCCTCCGCCCCAGCATCCCCGCCCGGCCGGGCTGGCCCCGGGGGCCCCGCGAGGCGTGGAGCGGCGGAGCGAGGCCGGAGCGCGGCCGCTGTGGCCCTTGGCGTGAGCAGCCCCCGCCACCTCTCGGCGGGCTCGCTTCCCCTTCCTGGCCCTCAGTCCTTATCTCTCATCGTCCTCCGGGGCGCCCCCAGTTGCCCAGGCTGGAGGGGCGGCGACGGGGGCTGTCACCGGGAGAATCACTTGGAGGGGAGCCCCACGCTCCGGCTCAGGTCTCTGGAGGAGCAAGGTCCGGGCCAGGTGCGTCCGAGTCGGGGCTGCGCTGCAGCCGGCGCCCCGGCCCCTGGGCGGGTCACGGCGCGGTCACTCTCGGGCCTCGCTGCCCGCGCACGTGCGCTGTCCCGCGCGTTCCGGGGCGACCGGGCGGCTCACCAGCTGTGGGGGATGCCCGGCATCATCCCCGCGCACGCCTCCTCTTGGCTCGCACAGCCGCGGTGAAGTTTACTCCGCCGTGGGGCCCAGGCTGTGGCGACAAGGCGTCCCGAGATGCCAGTCTTCTCCGCGAGGCTTAACTTCCTTCCCGCTCGCAAACTCCGCGCCCTCCGCCCTCAGGCACTGTCGCTCCCCCCACTCGAAAATCTTTGCGCGCCGCTCTACCCCCCGAGCGGAGGCGGCAAGGCTCTTGCTTTCCGTTCCGAGCTCTCCCGACTGCCCCGCAAACACCGCTCGCAGAGGGGATGGGAGGGAACTGGACCCGCGCGCGGAGCAGGGACGGCGGCGTCGGCGCGAGGATTCGCGGACTCCCGCCTCTCCGCGCTGCGCTCCCCGCCGCGGCCAACGTGGGCTGTCTGGTGCGCGTCTAGCTCAGGTACCGCACTCCAGCCCCGGAGAGTCTCGGCCCTCTTGGGTAACAGACAGGCTGGCGGCCAATGAAGAGGCGCGTCTCGCCAGGATTTAAATAGGCCCGCCCCCTTCTTTCACCCTCCCTCTCCCGGGAGGCGTTGCCTCGGCGGCGCGTAGGTTTCAAGTAAAGAGAACTCTTGGAGGCGCCCGAAGTAGGCGCGAGGTAGAAAAGGCAAACAGGTCATCGCTAGTGAGGACGATCTAATCGACACCCTAACTTAAACCTGTGTTTTACAATAATATAAAAGGCGTGACTTGATGTTGTAACTAAGTAAAAGCAAAATCAACTGTCAAATCAATACCACTTGTATTAATAGAGGTACAGGAATAGTTCCTCTTACTGACATAACATAGGCATTCAGCGGACACATGACTCCCAAGGCAGCTGCTGAAAGCTAGGACACACCCTCTGCTCACAAATGGGCCACAGACAGGACCATATTTAAGCCAGAGCAGGCATCCCGAGGGTTTGGGGCCAAATATTTTGATTTATCTCATTTCGGCCTTGGCCTGGCTTCTTAAGACAGCACCTTAAAGAAAAAGGGGTAGTCAGATAATATAACAGAAAAGCCACCCTCTGTCTTCTTGGAAATGTTTCAGTGCTTCTCCAGTTTTTCTGTGAACTTTTCATGTTAGTGTATTGAAATACAATAGAGCTTTCATGATGCTAGATAAAACCTGAGGAGAGGTGGGACAGATAATTCCAGCTCAGGAAGGGGCCTGGCGAGTTCTCACTCAGTGTAACAGGGCAAGGAAAACCAGGTTACCAGGAGCATTAGACAAGAGCCAGGCAGAGAAGACACATGTCTGCATTACACTTGCATGACGGGCACACTTCTCAATCATAGACTTGGCCCCCTCAATCCAAACACCACCACCACCTGCCATTCTGGATGCAAATCCACGTGCCCTCATGCTATCCAAGAATGCCCAGTAATCTACATCCAGACCCTTCAAACACATTCACTTAAAACACTAGGATCTTTTACTTGGTGAAAAGTGTACGGATTAGGAGGCAAAATACGGATTAGAAAACAAAAACTTCACTTTGCTGGCCTGACAGTCTTAGTTCACATGGTCCAAGGCATTTCTGAGCCAGACCAAAGAGCTATAAACTATGGGACTCATGGACTTATGAGATCATGGGGTTTCTACTGATCAAAATCTGATAAGCATTTCTGTCTTATTTCAAAGAATCTGTTTTTCATGGGTGAGGTTCTTCACCCCCTTCCACCCACTGGATTACTCTTTCTCATTCTCTCTTGGCCCAGAGAGATCATTTAGTCTTTAATTCTACAAATTTAATTTCTCAATTCAAGTTTAATTCTGCAAGTGTGGTCCTAGGTTCTACAAAGATCCCATAGCCATTGACCTCAGGCACCACAATGTCAACAGTGAGGGCCAGTCTTTAACCATCTGCAGGGATTCTTTTCATCTGAAATGAAAATATATCACTACTTGGTCTGGGCTGCCAGGATCCTTAGAATTTAAAAGCCTCCATCACCTGTTCCTCCTGTATGGGACTTGTTTAGACATAAAATCATCGCAGTACATAAAATCACAACAGCCAAGAGCTCTGATCAAAAGATCTGAAATCTTAGCGAGTATATGTAGGCTTCCTGCCAAGGTCCTTCTCCTTTCTCAAACATAGTCACAACTTCATCTTAAGGCATCTGAGACGCAAGCAGGGTAAAAGCAGCTCTAACCTATTAGGGCCATGGGGAAAGCACTTCAAAACTGGAAAAACCTTGGGCATAGCCAAGGGCACCTAGATAGGGCTGTGCCATGTAAAATGCAAAAGCAAGTTGTAACCCATCTATTGTATGTGCACTTACTGTCTATGCACGTATGGTCTAGCAGAGAACACACAGGCATACACACGTACCGTCTTCCCCTTTGGTTTGACACTTGGTTAGAAGTAGATGGACCTTGTGACCTGGGTCAAAAATGGCAGTTAATGATGCCTGATTCAGGTGTGATTCAGGTCTGCCGTGCACTTCCCATCCCCAACAAGGTGGCCTCTAAGTTCCTGCTGAATGGTGCTAGAAAAAGGAGGTGGTGAGGGTGCTTCTATATGATAAACACAAGCTCTCTCAAGAGCCAGAGGGAAACTATGTGAAATGAAAAATGACAGTGATCCTAAGGGCAGTGACATTCAGCTGACGACCACAAAAGAGGGTGTGCTCTCCTCATGTCTGCTACTCCCAACAGGCTCATGTGTTTGCTTGAAAACACCAGGAAACACCTTTGGATTATATCCTGGGGCAAAGGGGGATAAAAGGAAGCAGTTCTAACATTTTTATAACCTAAAAATTTGGGACCACTGCTTTTCCAAGGCAGCTGGAACTCTGTGTGTATAAGAACCTCTCACCACTACCTCACCCATTCCCCACTTCTCTGACCCCTCCAGAACCCCCTGAGAAGTCTCAGGTTAGGGACCTGGACTTTGTCCAGATGTGATTCACGAGGGATGGAGTGAAGGGAGAAGGGCAGGTTTGACTTTGGAGTTTGCTGGAATCTGTGAACAGACTGGAGAAAATCAGAGGTAACTTCGCCCCCTGCAGGACACCAACATATTACCGCCCCTTCCTCTGTGCCGGAACAACCTTCATTAAGTTCTCTGGATGTGTCTCCAAAACATCTGGGTGGAAAGAAGAGGAATTCGGTCAAGAAGCCGGATGTGGGAGCCAATCCACATCAAACATCTGGTTGCTTGGCTGACATCTCTTGCAGATGGCCTTCAGTTTTCTGGAAATAGGTTGCCTGTCCCACTCCCGCCCATTTAATGAAGGAATGAGGAATCCTCACCAAAAAGCACAGGTTTATCCCGTGACTTCAGTGATGGCGGGCAGAGGGCGAGAGTCTCGTACTCAGGTGTGATTAATGAACAGGGCTATTCATACAACAAAGTCTTTAAAATGGCATTTTTCTGTTCTACATTTAAAACACACATGGCCAAATAATTTCCATTTTTAAAAGACGTTGTTTCTTGGTGCACCTGGGTGGCTCAGTCAGTTAAGTGCCAGACTCTACATTTCAGCTCGGGTCATGATCTCATGGTTCATGGGTTTAAGCCCTGCAACAGGCTCCGTGCTAACAGTGCAGAGCCTGCTTGGGATTCTCTCTCTCTCTCTCTCTCTCTCTCTCTCTCTCTTCCACCCTCCCCCCCACTCTCACTCTCTCCCTCTCTCTCTGCCCTTCCCTCACTCTCTCTCAAAATAAATAACCTTAAAAAAAGATGCTGTTTCTTAATTTATGTTAAATATTCTATACACTTTGCTTTGAATTAATTATTAGCAATAAACTGCAGTTGTCATCTTTGCTTTTATCCTAAATCACGCATTGCCCCCTTTCAACTGTCTTGGAGATGTATGCAAGCTGCTTCTATGATGAACTTAAGTGTCATAAGGTACGTCGCTCTTGTGTTAAAAAGCCTGAGGTCTGGTCACCTTGAATCCTTTGGAACCCACACTTAAAATGTCAAATTTTAATCTTTAATATTAGTCTAAGGATTTGATTATTCCTTAATAATAATTTCTTTTTTTAAAAAAAGTTTTTTTTTAATTTATTTCTGAGAGAGAGAGACAGCGTGAGCAGGAGAGGGTCAGAGAGAGAGGGAGACACAGAATCTGAAACAGGCTCCAGGCTCTGAGTTGGCCATCAGCACAGAGCCCGACGCTGGGCTCGAACCCCGAACGGTGAGATCATGACCTGAGCCGAAGTCGGATGCTCAACCAACTGAGCCACCCAGGAGCCCCTTATAAAGCTTTTTAATGTTCATTTATTTTTGAGAGAGAGACAGAGTGTGAATGGGGAGAGGGGCTGAGAGAGAGGGAGACACAGAATCCCAAGCAGGCTCCAGGCTCTGAGCTGTCAGCACAGAGTCTGACGTGGGGCTCGAACCCATGAACCGTGAGATCATGACCTGAGCCGAAGTCAGATGCTCAACCGACTGAGCCACCCAGAAACCCTGATCCTTAATATTAATTTCTCAGTAGAATAATTTGCTCTGATTTGAAGAATATCCATTTGGAGTTGAGTGAAAAGGAAATATGGTAAGTAAATGTGTGCCAAGTGTGAGAAATTAAAATTTGAGAGTTAAATAAATATTGCTTC